CCCCCTACCCCCTCCTCCTCTCTCTCTCTCTCTCTCTCTCTCTCTCTCTCAAAATTTACGCATAATTGGCAGTTCGCAGGTGATGTCACCATTTCGCAATGCATGGGGATTCCCCTAAATTACTCATCAAATTCTTCCTCCTCAGGTCTTGTATGCACTTCAAATTGGCTGTGCAATACCTCTATTGGCACTTTGAGCTTTTGCAGTTAACCGGCCTCACTGGTTCCCATACTTTTCAAGCGCCTACCTTAAGTGGGATAGAAGTTCAATTCTGTGTAGTGCAGACAACATGGTAAGTAGTAATATTTTACAAATGGCACAGCTGCACTTTTACATATATCCATTCATACTGGACTTGCTGGACTTGATGCGTCGCACACGCATAGGATACACAATGTGAAGACAGGTGTGTGGAATGCTGCGTCCTACCTTGTGTACATGGATATATCCCAGACGCAACAAAATAGCTAATTTTTTTCTCTGTACTTTGGTGTGTGTCAGTGCGTGCGATGTATTCATTTAAGTACTCAATACTCAATTGTTAACGTGTATTTATTATACTTTAAACAGCCTAGCTTGGACAAGACAGTGATGGGCTCGGCTGTAGGTAGTCCTGCCTTTTCTGATGAAGCATTCTTCAAAATACTTAAAGGATATTTTACGACGTATTGATTTGCTCGTAGGTAGATACAAGTAGTTTATACAAATAGACAACGTTATGAATTTGAGCACAAGGAAGAAATGGTTGGCTAGTACAACAAGTTCCTCAAGTGAAGGAAGTTGATTTACTAAACTTAATAATTTTTTGCGGAACATCTTTTGCGGAACACCTTCTTCCAGGAATTCCCGATGACATTGCCTCGATCCTGTGACTTTGCAGACACGCTTGGGGGTGTAGGAAGCGTACTCTCAAGTAGAAGTTTAGGCTCCGGCTTTTTGACCTGCGTTCAGGCGTCTTTATCATATTTCTTGTATTGGTATCCTTTTTACGACAGCCAAATGGGTATACTGTCCTGCCAATTGGATGCTGTCTTGCCAATTTGCTGCTATCCTGCCAAAATGATACTGTCTTGCCAATTAATTTGATGCTGTCTTGTCAATTTGATGCTGTCTTGCCAATTTGACGATGTCTTGTCAATTTGATGTTGTCTTGCCAATTAATATTTGATGTTGTCTTGCCAATTAATATTTGATGTTGTCTTGCCAATTAATATTTGATGTTGTTTTGCCAATTTGATGCTGTCTTGCCAATTTGGTGCTGTCTTGCCAATTTGGTGCTGTCTTGCCAATTTGGTGCTGTCTTGCCAATTTGGTGCTGTCTTGCCAATTTGGTGCTGTCTTACAGTCTCCGCAACGTCTGTGGGCTGATAACGGAAACGAGTTGTGCCTGGGTCACCAAGATGAGTCACCAAGATATGCTCCACTTTGCGCTTCATTCCCGCCCTTGGTACTGGAGCTGTGAACGTACAGGACCATTTTCTCAGCATAGAGCAACATATTTTGCCGACATTTTTTTAAATATTTCAACATGTAATCACAAGGCGTGGTGACGGCACACTCAAGTTTTTTCAACTTATATTAATGCCGCCACCAACACAATGGACAATACAATACTCATTTTCACCTGAGCGAAGTGTGGAAAGTCGTGTAAAGTGCCTTTCCCAAGGGCACAAGATCGGTGGCATGACAAGACTCGAACCCGGGACCTCTTGGTTCCGAGTCGAGCACTCTGCCGCTACGTCACACGACCCCAATTTGCCGACTTATCGAACGCCATCACTCCAGTTTATTCTTTAATGCCTCTACGTTGTGTTTCAGTGTTGCGGTTCCAGCCTGTATCACCTGCTGCATAGGACATGTCTCGCCGGAAACATCAGTACGACTTTACCGCTGATCACTCTAAGTCTAAGGTAAGGCACTCGTACGGTCTGGATCATGGAGAAAGTTGAAAGACGAGGGAAAAGAACAAGAAATGAAGGTCTCTGGAAGCATTACATTTTTAAAATCTTACATAATTGAAAACTTTTTTTACTAGAAATCTGGGCCACAACACGAAACACCAATGTTAGAATAGAGCAGAAACAAGATGGGTCCTATATTTTCTGGGTGGTACCCCAAAATCAGCCCAGGATCCTACCAGTAACCGTTTTCCGTCACAGTTTTTTGTTGTTGTATTTTTGCTCTATATGAGTATCGATATACATCGGGATAGTGTTGTTTGAAATTTCAACTAGTACATTTATATATGCTAGTAGATAGATAAATGACTAAAATATTGACTTTAAAAATTAATCTGTTTTTGAAACCATAGAAACTGCGTTGGGCACATTAACACACCTGCAAGGTCCAACTTACAAACCTGTCTGGTTCTCTACAGTCGCACACTTTAGTCTTATGACCCCTGGTCTTATGATTAACTTTACTATGAACTATTGACAATTTCAGGGTGTGAAAAGTGTCGAGGTTACATCCATCAAGCAACAGCCGCACATCGTTGTGGAAGGACCAAGCGAGGAAAGTTTTCCCGAGGCAGACCACTGTTGTTACCACCACTTGGAGAGAAGTGACTCCGGGGTTTCTGACGTGGCGATGACTGTTCACAGCTTGACAGAAACAGGAACCCCCTCGGGGGGCGCCCTGTCCACCGAGTCCAACCACCAGGACCAGAGAGAGAGTGGCATATTTGACGGGGACATGGCACGATCTGTGAGTTTTTTTTTTATTCCAACATTTCATGACTAGACATGGTGACAGCACACTCAAGTTATATCAACTTATTTTATGCCCCCACCAACGCAGAGGATGAATACAGGACAGGACAATACTCATTTTCACGAGGAATCTGTGACTTAACAATATCTTTAGCAGAGGTCAGGACTTTTCTCAATCGCGCGAAGACTTGACATGAATACCTGCGCACATTTGTGTGCATACCTAATGTTTATTATCAGGAAAGCAAAAACAAAACATACGCGTTGGTGCTAAGTTCCTCATTCTCCATATTTACGAGGGACACCTAGCTAACTTCGTTTCCTCATTCCGCAAGAACAACAAAAGCTATTCCCAAATTAAAGCTTTAATCTTATTTTTTTGCAATGAGCACTGTTTGATTATAGAAATCACAGATCAATAGAAATCATGCAAGTTAAGTTTACACGGAAGTCCTCATAACTGCATACTCGTAGTATTGTGTTACATTTGCTTACCTGTTATTTTGTCTTCATGTTTCAAGCGACACATAAAAATGAAACTAAAGCAACCTGCAAAGGTATAACAACTTTCAATATGGACACATGTTGACTTTTTTTCTTTCAATTCTATTGCATTATCAAGACAAGAATACAGTAAAAGAAGAAACATAAAATACAGATGGTGCATGTAGAATTCGCTCCGCATGTTGAATTCCCTTAAATGTAGAAATTCTTGTATGGTCAACAAATCCTACAGAGCTTTAAATTCAAACTGGGCGAAGTAGCATTAGACATGATTAGGATGTATATACGTTGTACAGTGTACATGCATATATGCATATATATATAGTACTCTTTTGTCATAAAAAAGCCAGAAGGAGATTAGACTTCAGTCAAAAAAATATCTACATGGTTTTCACGCGAGATTTTTGTCTATGAAATTCTGGATTGTACATGTTCAGAATTGTGCAATCTACATCGACCACAATTTGAATTCCTAGATACGACTTCGTAAAGTTTCTGTTTTCAACCTTTCAAAGTTTACTTTTTTTTTCCTTGTTGAAGGACACGGACTACAATCGCCTCTCAACTGTGAGTACCGACTCCGGGAGACCGGCCAGCATGGAGGGCATTCTGGACGACAGTCTGCCTCTTCACGAAGGGACAAATAAACCAGAAGAAAAGTGGGGAGACAAGGTAGTGGACGCCGAGGCATTTGAGGAACACCGTGACGCACCAAACAACAACAGCGTCCCACCCGTGACAGGTAAAGAGGAAGCGGAACTTCTTGTGAAAAGACCTTGGAGACTTTCCAAACTGGAACAAAGCAGGCCGCGCCGGTACAGCGGCTCACCAAATCAAAGTCTACCTTCACTTCAAGACGACAAAATGTCGTCACGCATCGGGAGGGAGGGTCGGGGATGTCTGAAGATACCCCTTGGAGACGGGTGCAGCAAAAACCAGGCAGAGCCGCAGTTGAGTGCCCCTCTACCGTCGGACGATCTGACGACCGACGGTGCCAGCCCTGAGTTCGACGCGGACGCTCCAATCGCCGAAGAAAGCGAGAGCATGAACGATAATCAGGAAACGGCACCCCAAGAGATCAGAGGAGAAGCGGAGAGAAGCTGTGGTCCTGATGTAGAGGATAACGGTCTAGCTGTAGGCGCTGAAGACATGACCTTCGGTCAAGTTAGCAAGACCTGGGAGCATGCCGACACCTGTGCCATCATGCCCGTGTACGACGCACGCGGGAAGTTCTCGCACGTAGGAGGGCGCCTTGAGCTGCGATACGACCGTACAACCGTGCGACTGGAGGTACCGGCCGGTGCAGTACCCGAGGGAGACGCAAGGGAGCTCTTCATCCGAGTTCTACCTTCGAGAGGCATTGAACCCACAGCAGTCTTCTGTGGACCGCATGGCACGGTTTTCGAGTAAGAACAGCATTTTTGACGCTCCAACACTCGCCTAAACTACTAGAATAGGCGACAAACCCTGTCAAGCTATTCAAACAATATCTACAAAAAATGCTAATAAAGTTTCAAAGTCTTAACAGACTAAATACAAACCTAGTGCAAGATCAACGAAATTTAGTTTCTAGGTCAGATGCAATTGAGAATGAAGAATTACTAGTAATTGCGCTTGATCCTTTATAGTATATATAAATTATACGCCTATTCATATATTGTTTGGGTTCTTTTGTAAGGCGAACACATCTACCTGTAGTTGTAGTTATATAGTAGAGAATTTGAGAATTTCCTTATGAGGCTGAGCTGTGTTGCTTTATCATTGTCAATATTCTTGTGTCTCATGTTCTTTGCTAGAACCCCCGTGAACCTGTCCTACAGCGCAGACGGGGAAGGCGACAAAGCGGCAGTCCAAGGGTTCCTTACGCCGACAGACTTCGGAGACCCTACTCGCTGGCACGACATCGGTGATGATCCCGACACCAGCTTCAAATTGGAGGGTAAGATTTGTACGCGCATTCAAGAAAACTTCAAGAAAACATCACTTTTGATCATACTGATTCGGGGCAGTAAAACTGGATTTTCAGAGTTAATTTTCTGGTTATTCTTAATGTAGTAAGTTTAATCATCCCCATCCCATAGAATACTGATATGTGTAGTATCTGTGAGGCAAAAATGTGTTGCAAAACTAGCTATCATTATTGGTGGACAACGAAATTTGCATTATGCCTTTTCCGTCCGCCTCCTCAATCCTTAAGGTTTAACTATCCACAATGATGACATTTTTTCAATGTATCAAAACAATTCACTTTGTAATATACAAGAGTGTTTCACATTTCAGATGGCATGCACCACTTCATGCTGAAGCACTTCACCGGGGTCACGAGCCGTGTCAATGGCGCCTCCCAGCGGACGAAAGTCGAACAGCAGGGGCACATAGTGAAAACATTCCACCTGTACTACGACTATCAGGCAAGGGAGTTTCCACATCTAAAAAGCAATAAAATATATTATATAGGTGCCTTCGTTTTCCCGTATCTTTCTGATAAAAACATAATGGTTACCACTGTCGAGAAAAGCAGTTATGATAATTTGATGGCAAAATGATACCAAGACAAATGTTATGTGGGTTTCCAGTATATTTTGATAAAATTTCAGCAATATCTTTTAACATTCCAGGTCTTCGAGGCAAATGGAAAAGTGATGTCAATCCTCGTCCTCCGAGTCTACATTGCAGACGAGGATCAGACAGAGGTACCGCAAATCCTGACTTAATTTCTGACAGACTTCTTGCTTTGTTAAATTCTTACTTCCTACATGTCTGTGCAGGTTTGACATAAGGCCACACCAAGTAAATTTTATGGATGACGTCCTTTGGAGACCCTATATCTAATGCGAGAGGGCGAAAAAAAAAACAAGTAGGGCCCTAAAAACAAGATGCCTAGATTAGAAATATACTAAGAGACGACAAATGTTAGGACACAAATTGAATGAGGTGACACAGTGTAACAAGCAAAAAGTCTTTTATTCATCATCAAAACAGCAATAAATCAGGTGGAACAGCAGTTGTCGTCCTGTCCTGTTTTCGCGTTACGGGTTTCATGTCAATCTGATGATTTGCGGCACTGTCGTGACTCTTTGGTCATAGTTACAGGAAGCGGAATTTCTTGGGTTTTTTTCTAGGAACAGGCCAAAATCAATGCGCGCGCGGACGTCATCCATAAAATTTACTTGGTGTGGCCTAAGATACATGTACATGTACACAGGTACACGTTACTCAAGCAACTACATTGTAGATATGAATTTGAAAACAGATGTTTCAGGTAGCAACCACTACATTTCATCAGTGACACTGTTTTCTGGCATATCTTACATTGTAGTTCCTACAGTTGTTGATTTCTAATTTCCTACAGTACCTTAGGTGTGAGCTAAATTCTACAGCAAACACAATGCTTATGTCTGTTTTGTTGTCAAATTTAGAAAATTAAAGCCCTGGAGACCTCGAGGCAGCCTGCGGGTCAGCTATGTGATGGGCCCAGGTGCCTACCGTTTTCTGCAGACAATGACAACCCACTTAAGATCCGTCTGAGCCAGATCCTTGAACATGCCTGGAACATTATGGGACCTCACCAGCAGGTATGTTTCATAAATATAAACTTACCAACATTGCAATTTTTTAAAAATCTACGTCCAATTTACAATATTGTGACGAGTCAATGGTCAAGTGGGTGTTCACCTTGTATTTGGTAGCTTGCGACATTAGGGAGCGGGCAAATACTATGGAGGATGGCACCCAGGCTAGCATGGTACATGCTAGTACTGCTTTCTCTGCTTAGTCTGGAGTTAAACACACACCACTACATTTTTGTACAAGTAGACTAGCCCCTGCTGTAGTGATTGCATAACTGTGTGGCCCAAGGGCTAAAGAAACAGAGATAGGCACCGACCTATGCACCATAGGTGAGGGAAGGAACTTTAATAAAAAAACATGATGTGCAGTAACACTGCCACCTTTTTCTCCTCACAGACTATTGACATCAGGACTATCAGAGGTACCAGGATGACCAGCTGCCTGTTTCGGCTGTCCTCTGCACACGGTACAGCAATACCTGTCCACTGTAATGTGGAGCTGTCCCAGCAAGGCAATACCAGCTGTGAAATCATGGCAGTAAACATAGTGCCTACACAGGTTAGTTAGCAGTTGATCTGAACAATTTTCTACATGAAATGAATTCAAAACCACCTGTCCTCTTCATAAAATGTATAGGAGGCTCAACGAATAAAGAGTTTTGGACAAAAAATGCACTCTCCTGATATTAGGGAACATCGAATCTTGCAAATCATCCCTCCAGTTCTTGATTTCTGCAGCCAGTTAATTCAATGCTTCCAGTGTCACCATTGTAATTATGGCAGCAAGTTCAGAACCTGGCACCATGGCTCCTGAAAAACTTTATGAGAAGCAAACAAAAGCAAATGTTAACAAGAGGAAATCCAAGATTTCATACCTCTGGGTACTACTCATCTTACAAATGATGCACTATAAAACAGCCGTTGAAAGTACAAAGAATAAAAAAAAAAACATAACTTGCAATTGTATGCAGTCAAAATAAACATGTCATTTACTTTTCAAAAGAACATTTTTCACAAGCCTATCATGTTCGACGTTTTCAGGCACTGTTGTATTTTATTGTCATTGGTTTTGTGACATCTTCGAACTGCAACAATAAGGCCACACCAATTTAATTTGTTGGTTCTCCGATTCGCCTCTTCGTTTTTTTCTGATTTGCAAAAAAAAAAAAAATTTGATTCTGGTCCTGAATCAACTGAAAAATGCTCATGTTTTGCCCCCCAACAGTTGAGGAAAGTCCTTTTCTTCCTAGTTGTTACAGTTTTCCCATCTATCATTGCAGTGGTTTGATTAAAAGTTCAAAATTCAATGTTTAAATTTAACCCAGCCTTTTGTGTTGACTTCATGGCTCATTTTGTAGCATTTAAACCTATAATAGGATGCCTAGACCTGTTTTTATTTCAATTTTTTTTCGCCCTGTCGCTTCATATTTTTTCTGAAAAAATCCGAGAACCAACAAATTAAATTGGTGTGGCCTAACAACAAAACTCCTTTCTCCTTGTTGCAGTGCTGCTGTCAGGGGAGACCAACCCAGCAGCTGGTGTATGAAAGGTACTGCCACAACAACCCTGGGTACCACCAGAATGGCCCTGAGGATCACCTGCAGGGGGCAGTAGGCGGCCATTTTACATCGTCCAACCTTCCGGTGAGCCAGTGTGCTGACGAGACAGGATCACAGGAACGGAAAGTCAAGCATCCTGTAGAAGACACCTGCAACTGCGAAAAATGTCAAGACAGCAAGGTGAACACTGAAGGCCAGAGCTGTCATACCGACGATACCTGTACAGGGTGTCATTTGTGCACAGAGGAAGGCAGCAGTGAAACTTCCATACCACCACATCATGGCACAGCCACACAACCACAGCTGTCACAGCCTCAGCAGGAAACATCCCACCAGAAAGATCTCTCCACAGAACTTCCTGACAACCACTTGTCAATGGAGAGTACTAATCAACCTGTCCAAGAATCCTCTCCAGAAAGCGATCCGCCTGCTGCAGCGGCCGCTCCTCACCACTCAGAGCACCCGGGAGGATCCCAAACAGACAGCATGGACCAGGGCGCAGCAGCGAACCCCCCTGAGCCAACACCACCCCAACATACCAGCAAACGTACTCACAAATTACTGAAGAAGCTCAACTTGCCCAAATGGTTTCCCCAAAAGTTAGCAGACACCCTAGGGAAGCAGAAGACAAAGTCCAAACCACCAAAAGAACAGGCATTGCCAGATGTGTCAAAAGAACAAGCCGAGGAGGTGACGAGGGATGATCCCAGCCTGCCCACACAAGAGGCCAGCCAAGCTACACATTCATCAAAGAAGGACAGTGCCTACATCTCTGGTGTGCCTGATGAGGGGGCTGAGGGTGAAGAAAATATTGAGTCCCCAGAGGAAAACAATCATGTCAGGGACCTGCAGAGAGACAGTGGGGTCCATGTTGGGGAGGGGTCATGCCTGCAACAGCCATCTCCAGAACAGGACAAGATAGCACAAGAGGAGGGAAACCACGGGGAAGAAACTACAGGAGATGGGAACCAGGTAGACCTTGATACCAGCTGTGACCAGCAGTTGGTGGTCCTCAGGAAAGATGCTGACTCAGAGAAAGGAGAGAGGGAGAGTGGGTACACGTCTGGAGTGCCATCAATGTGTGGTGACCCAGACGTTTCGTAGACTGACGATGGATGCAGAGAACTGCAACACTTTGATTTTGAACATTATGTGGCTATTGCAATGCCTTATTTGCCCAAACCATGCTGCTTGCCTAATACTAAGAACTATAATAGTCATACTGCCATTGTGTCATCCCTAAGAAACAATATACCGGTACAGTGAAAAGGCCACAGTGTGAGAATCACACAACTTGGGCAGTAGAGTGACTAGTAATCTGGTAATGGTTTCATAACTGATACATGATGTACATGTAGAAACACTAAGGTATGTAAAACAATACCCACTAATAGATTCTAAAGCAAAGCTTCAAAGTTCCACAATGGGTATCATATTCAAGATAATTATATTACCAGAAATAGACCTGTGTTGACTAGTGACTGTTTGGTCAGTATTGGTATGTCTATTTCATTCAGACACATTTATTAGCTAGTATAGTTCAGTTTAGAATTCCGTCAGACTTGGTGTAGAAGCTACTTCCAAAATAGCAAATTTTGGTTTTAACATTGCCAGGGCCAGAAAAGAAATGGAGTGATCTGAAGAATTAAATTCAAATTACAACAACAACAGAATTATGCCATGTTGTGTACGCCCAAGTCAGGTTTTCTGGGAACAAAATTAATTAGCTGGTAGTTGGAGTATATGAACAACTGCCATGAATGAAAATCATATTTTTTATATAAAGGTTTTCAAGTTAATGTAACAAACAGATTGACAAGCAACAATGTACTCAGGAGCAACAGACATGGTATAACAAACAAGAATTGTTTTTATACAAGACATCGTAAATATTCTTAACATCGTATCTTTCTATTTTTGACTTTGCAAATAAATAAATAACAATGCGAGTGAAAAGATAAAGATCCTACTGTCTTACATATACATGTAATCAGTTAGCCAATACATGTATATATACATACCAACACATGTGTGCATGCGCATGTGTGTAGCATGTCAGCAGAAGAACTGTGCCTGCTTGAAACCAGGATTTTTCATGGTTTGTCAACACTGCATCAGAATTTTCCTATTGCAGATTATATCTTTTCTGACACAACATTTGACAAATATGGACAGAATGTGATCCTAATCCTAAATATGTGAATAAGGACTTTTTTTAACATGAATTTTTGGCTGGTGCAGTATGTTTTTCCGACATGTTCGCTATGCACTACAGTTTGGCAATGATTTCTTTAAGACAATTTCTACTCTTTCCAGTCACTTCTGAAGCCTTGTACAGGCTACTCCACATCTCGTGAGACCCTTACATTTCTCCTCAAATCCTGAAGCATGACATGGCTTGTATTTCCCCAGAACTATCGTAGACTGGAACTCGTTGCCACCAAGCACAGTTGGGGCATCATTACTAGAAAGCTTTAAACAACTCCTGCAATTAAATGTGCAAAGATTGAGTGTAACAAGTCGTTCGGTGTGATATAACTAGCTGACGCTGCGCCGCATGCCTGCGAAGCTGGTGTGTTACGCCGAAGGGCGGTTATACCAGCTATACAGATACAGATGGCTATCAAGAGACTGGAATCTCCATAGTACTGAGTCTGGTGATGAACTCCAGTAGGTACATCTGTAGTCTGATCTCCTGGGGGTCTGTAGTGATGGTGAAACCAGGAATACCACCTTTGCTCAGCGTGTTCTGCTGTTCCAGAACCACCTGGTCCATCTCTAGTATCAGCTCCTTGTCCACCTGGCTCATCTCTTCTTTCAGGTGCTCTTCTAACTCCTGTGGAACAGCCAAATAACGGCAACAATTACAGGATACTGAAATGGTAATACAATGTACTTACATTAAAAGACTACTCTTGATCCAAGCAGAGGTTTGGGTTTGGGCTTATTTTTGGTGTGTTTTTAGGCTTTTTTATCGGGCTTTCTCTTTTGCACCGGTATCTCTTTTTTACATTAGTTTGGCATAAAAAAAGATACCAGAGCAAAAAAAGAAAGCCTGATAAAAAAGCCTAACAACAACAAAAATAAGCCCAAACCCAAACCTCTGATTGGAGAGTATACAAAACAAGGCGATCAGAGAAGGCATGCTTCATCCCCTACTAATATCAATTAGTAAACACTGAAAGGCATCTAATGTTTATAGAATACAGTCCAAGGTGGCCAACCAGGGGACTGAAGAAAGGTGGTTGCCGTAAACGGGTGGTTTCTGCAAGCATAACAAAAATAGTGTCTGTCCGCACAATCAAAAATTGGTAAGGGATCCAACAGTCCCAACTCATAGCTGTCGCAGTTGTGTTAGCCAGGTGGTCCCCCTTAGCAGGTTGCTTTATTCTTGCATCAATTGGGAAAATTTTTGGGACCAAGCTGGTAAACTGGTTTTACTGTAATTGCATGGAGGAAAATTAGAGGTTTTCAGAGCAAAGACTGGTACTAAATAGTAGTAAGACACAAAATAAAAAGAGAAGCTCTGCACCTCCTTTTCCCTCCTGTTGGTGGTCTCTACACTCCTCAGCAGATGTGGGTCCCCCTGGCAGGTCTGGATAACCTCACGGTGCTTTTTGGCCATCTCTAGTCTCTTAGCTGAAGAAACAGAAAATTGTTTCAACTATACGTATAGCACAGTGCAAACCAAGATGATTGTACTGCTTGACCCTCAAGTCTGGCATCCAGGCTACAAAACCATTATGACCATTGGTCCCTCTATGATCATTGGTAGCCTCACTTTGTCTTCAGACTATCTTACCTTTATTTGCACAGTTCAACACAAAAAGGAAACTCACCATAAATTTTCCACCACTTCCGAAGTTTCACAACATATAGAGTCACCAGGCCACACAGTTAAACATGGATAAGGCCATGTTGATTTGATTATATGGATGACATGAAGTTTCGGCCGTTTCCAAAAAAAAAAAAGTTTTCAACCATACTGTAAATCGTACAAAACAGTTGTAAAATGAGCAAAAATATACCATAAGTTACAAAAAAAATTAATAAAAACTATACC